AAATTGTGCATACTGGCAAAGCAAAACTTGAGGGGTCGTATTGAAAATAATCTAACATTTTGCTCTCTTTCTCGTCATCACTGTTCTCCTAATTGCCTACTCACAAATTCGGTGACCTCTGTACATGAGATAACTCATGTAATTTCATTTAATTACTGACTGACTTCCATAGAACACAAACGGTGAATATTTCACTTTTAATTCATTATACGCTGGAAATCTTGTAAATATGAGTACATGTGAGATGTCCAATTTGTAACCAAACTGTTCTTTTGAATGAGATCTCAATGAATTTAAGCGGATCATTCAAGAACTGAACTGTTTGATTTCTCGAGCAACTTGACAAGGTAATAATGGGATGCAATAATCTGGATGCAATGGTTAAAAGCCAACTGGAGGAGATTTTCATGGAATAATGATTTAAATTTCACCATCTTCATCACACACAGCTGTCATCTAGCTTCAAAAAACTTGGAATAGCACACGCATTATAATACCTGTACCTTTTTTGGCAAATATTCTAAAGCATGAAAGTTCCAGTCTGCTTTCATTGTAATTACTTGAATTTTTTTTTCTCTTTTGCATTCCGTCGAAGAAAGAAAGTCATATCGTTTTGGAATTACATGTAAAGAGTAAATGCATAATTTAAAAAATAAATAAATAAAATAGGAAATGAGAAAAAAAAAAGGAAAAACAGCGTGACAGACCTAAAATATTGCACAAAAAGTGTATGCATACTCAACATTAGTGCTGTTCTGATTCATTCATTCTCTCTCTCTCTCTCTCTCTCACTCTTTTCTCTTATGCCTTAGATCCTGTTAAACGTTTTTTTCTCAAGCATGTTTATTACAGTTTGATTGCAGACACGGCCATGTGGATTTATCGATCTCCTAATGGCCTGTGAATGGTGGAGTGGCAGTCAGGCGTGAGGAATCCCATTTAACCTCTGCTTATTAAACCGGAAGTGTGCAGGGTAATGGGTTGAACTGGAGAGATGACTGGAGCAGATAGGCAATGAATCTGCATCAGATAGAAGGATGAAGAAATAGATAAAAGAAAGGAAGCATGCAGTGAAGGAAGGAAAGAGCTATAAAGGGACAGCAAGAACACCTAGATGGGAATAAGGTGAGCTGAGTCATTAATCAGCCTCAGTCACTGAGCATGAAGGGCAGGAAGACTGGAAGCACTCCGACACCAGCGACGGCCCCAGTGCACACATTCACAGCCACACAAACGCTTCACTGTGTGTCCCCTGCAGCAGACATGCTATACACATGCCGAGGCGTGGATATATGCATACAGTTGAACCCGAGGTACAGTTAGCTTGTTAACTACTACCTGAAGCTTCCAACTGCTGCCCTGGGATAAATCTGTAAGCTGTATCTGCTGGTCTAGGATCAGCTTCTCCAAACAAAAGTTAAATCTTATCTGAAATGGACCTTTTTCACATTTCCGGGTTTCTCAGCAGCAGAAGTCGTCATAGTTGGGTAAACTTCCATAGCAGTGAATGGGAGACTACCACAAATATATTTTGCATTCCCATTTCCTCAAATAGCAAAAGAAAAACTCCATGATAGTGTTTTCATGACTTTCAAAAAAAGAAAAAACAAATAGAGAGAGATTGATAACGGCAGTCAGTAGAGAGAACGATGTCAAATTTACTATCACTCCCACAGACGCTGTATTAGAAACACCCTTTCATTAGCGTTAACTAGTTTTTTTTTGTAATTTGATGCAAAGGTAATATAATACAAAGGATAGTGTTATAAATGTACATGCATTTAAAAAAAAAATGAAAACACAAAAAACTTCATCACAGTCTTGTGAAAAGAGTCCATGGTTGTACATTCTTGTTTATTTATTTATTTTACAGTGCAATTTATTGAATATGATTCAAAATATAATTATGGTAGCATGTTTAAAACACACAAACATACTCACACACACACACACACGCACACACACACACACACACACACGCCTACTCTTAAGTTGATTAAAAATAACAAAAATATAGTGTGGAGTGTAGTTTTGAATAGGTTGCTAGACTTAAATGTGAACTTCACAAACTTCACAGTTTAACCCTGCAGTCGGTTCACCTTCCACCTAATTTGATGAATTAAATTGGGGCTGTGAGGGCTGAAAGGCCAGTGCATTGAATGATTTACTGTTGTGAACCTGGGCGTTGATTTAAAAACATCCACTGGAAATTAGTGCAAAAACATTTCACTGCCTGAACGATGGACACCGAAGCACACAGCAGTACAACAACAGCAGCACTTCCACCTCTTACATCAATGTTTTCATTTGTGTCCTATGAAATACACCATCTACTCTGACTAAAGTCTCTATATATCAAGGGTTTGATGCAATCTGGCTCAGAGTCCTGTCAGGCTCACATCCAGGACAATAATGCAAGGAACAACCAAATAACAGTGTCTTCAAATAATGGATTACAGACCACCATGCCAGGGTCAGCAACACCAACATCCAGCTCGTCTGAGATGATGTAAAGCAGATAGTCTTGAATGGTAAATGTTCTTTATGCCAGCACTGGATGCTACTGTATGTGTACTGTCCTCTACAGTCTGAACAGGGCTTCTTTTATCACGTTCAATTCAGACTGAAGCAAAAAATAACACTTTTTTGCTGTGGCGCTGTAGATTCAAAAGCAGTACAGGAAATATGCCAAATATTTATTACAGTATTCTGGTGAGAGAATGTAGATGTTCAACAACTGTTATCCATCAGGAAAGTCATAGTATATTTTTTTATAAACGGAACCAGTTCTGAATAAGAATAAGAGCAGGTTCTCTGGAAAGGCAGTCCTTGGACCTGTTTGAAGGACATCTGTAGCTGTCAGTGGGGAGGTTAGTGAGCTAACTCTGTCTGAACTGGTTTGTGCTTCTGTGTGGCAGTTCCCAGAGAGAAAGAGATGAATAATAAATAAGCTTGGGATAGAGAGAGAGAGAGAGAGAGAGAGAGAGAAGGAAACACCGAAAGAGAGATTCCTACCGAGTCTGTATACGTCTTCAGGGCTCACAGTAACAGCTAAACAAATGTTTTGTAAGTGTCTGCTGAAGCTCAAACCTGTTTACAATGGCTCTGTTCCAAAACCTCTATGCTTACTCACAACATAGGCAGCTGTCTTCTAAGGCAGCATCTTAACTGGTATCTTATATCAGGGTTCCTACACATTTTCCATTTCAAAATTCCATACTTTTCCAGGCTCAAATTTCCAAACCTCTCAGTAGGGCTGTCAAATTTTTTTTCCGAATTTCGAATATTCGTCGAATAAAAATAAAAAAATCCACATTCGAATGCAAAAACGTTGCATTCGAATTGAAGGTCTGCGTCAGCCGTCAGGCAGCCTTAGTTATCAGTGGCGCACGAGATGCGATGACGATGTATGTGTCATTGATTGCATTTGAATGCTTTTGTTAGCCTATCCAGTTGAACCCACTAGATGCGGTGCTGCTACATTGTTCATTCATATATTGCGGAAAACGAGAGCATCAGTGTGGAGAAGATGTTGTTTACGTCAAAACTGAAACCAAGCCGTTCACACAGAACGCATATTTATCACATTTTCTAGAGGGACATCTATCAGCGTTGCACTCGCGTCTCGCACAAGAGAGCGGCATGTTTAGAAAGCCATGTAAAATTAATGCAAGTTCAACTTTTAAAAAACATGTCTAAAGACGTTATGGCGGTTTTTCCCCATCCCACTGTATCTCATGTTTTTAAATGAAGAAAGTAGCCTACTCTTTGTGATTGGTTTTCGGTCCTTTGTATTAAACTATACATACATGCATGGTGCTGTTTTTTTTCTAATTGTTTAAGCAACTTTATTAATTATATATGGTTTAGAAACATTATTTTAAACATTATGCACTATTCCCAAAGATAGTCGTGTTATTTTATTACGCTTTGAAGAAACGTGCATAATATTTTGCTCGATGCGCCCTCTTGTGGCCTCAGGAGAGAAGCCAAAAGCTTTCCCCCCCCCTAACTGAAATTATGCCTCTTAAATTCTATATGGTTTATAAACATTATTTTAAACATTATGCACTTTTTAAAAAATATAGTCGTGTTATTTTATTACGCTTTGAAGAAACGTGCAAAATATTTTGCTCGATGCGCCCTCTTGTGGCCTCAGGAGAGAAGCCAAAAGCTTTTTTCCCCCTAACTGAAATTATACCTTTTAAATTTGAATATAATTCGAATTTTGATAATTTTTAAGCAGAAAATTCGAATTTAGTTTTTCAGTCATTTTGACAGCCCTACCTCTCAGTAGATTTAGTTATAATTGACTTGGGGTCATGGATTCCCTGCGTTTGCGGCCAGCAATGTAAAATGTAAAATTCGAATAGTGTTTTTATTTTTCAAATAATAATTACAGAGCGAATATTCGACTATTTGGGAATCAAATGTAAATACCATTGCATAGTCTTCACTGTATAAATTAAATATAGATTAATTCTTGTTAAAACTACAAGGTAATTCAGTAAAGAGCAGTGAGTGATTTTCTCCCATTTAATTTCTTGTATTAACATTATGGACACTGACAGCAGCTAGTTAATTAGGCACGGTCACTTTAAGAGACAATACATCCAATATAATGGTACACATTCGAATTCTCTCAACTGTTTACTTTCACTTAAGACATAACCGACAATTATTTCGAGGATACTCGCAAAGACATGATTTAAGTGAAGCATCATGAAAGCATGATTTCTGAAGCATCATGTGACACTGAAGACTGGAGTAATGATGCTGAAAATTCAGCTTTGATCACAGGAATAAATTACAGTTTAACAGATATCCACACAGAAAAAAGCTATTTTAATTTGTAAAAATATTTCACATTTTTTACTGTATTTTTAATCAAATAAATCCAGCTTTGGTGAGCAGTAGAGACTTCTAAAACATTGAAAACATCGTAATTATTCCAAACGTTTGACCGGTAGCGTCTGTGTAAGAGAACGAAACACACTCACCTCTCTGAGCATGGGGTCAGATATGGAGCTGAGGTTGACTGCTCCTTCATAAGTCAGGTAGTAGAAGACATTGAGAGCTCTGACGGCCTCAGGTCCCTGCTGCTTGTATCCGAATATCAGATCGATCCACTGATGCAGCTGACAGGACACAAACTCACTCTCCAGAGCCTATGAAACACACAAGATAAAACGTATGTGATTCAGACTCAGTGACACAACAAGACCAAGAAAACACACCACTCCCAAAAAAAGCTGTATCCAGATGTGGCTAAACAAGCTCAATTGAAGGTAGTTAGTCAATAAGACACAGCGAAATACCATGTGAATTCACCCCAGATCGTGATAGATTTGTTATTTTTTCACATGCCCAACAACTCATGGAGTGCTCCTCAGAGAACGTAACCAAGTAGCATGGGTAACGGGATCTGTCAAAATGTGCTTTCAACAGTCACAAATGACATAATACACACAAATGACAAGCATATGCTTCTAGGACAGAACCGCTGGAGCAACGCAGATCGTCTTACACGAGCAGGACGAGATATCTTTGCTCCTTTGTTTAGTCTCATCTCTACATGCTGCGGGGCGTCAGAGTGTTGTTGTTTTCGGAGCTATAATTGTTCTTCGACTGTCATAATAACATTGAAACGCAAGCTGTTTCTCTCTTCATTAGCCGCCAAAGGAGGGCCTCCGTTTATGACTGCTCATAAAAAACAGCAATTGTGTTAATTTGCTCAAGTGTGGGCACAAAGGCCTCTAAACGAGCCCAAATGAGTATGAGAAGAGCCTTGATTGTCATTGCTGCCTTGTGTCACATTAATTTCGAGACAAACATTAGGCCCTGCACTTAAACGGCAATTTATATCATTTAAATGCTTATCGGAAGGGTCTTAGCATCACTCATTTAAATGTGAGTTCGCTGACAGCTAATTCCGCTTAATTTGCACTCCAAGCTCTCTTAATTAGAACTTTAAATCAGAAAACGCCGTGAAATGTGGCATTTGCACACAGGTTTGACAACAAACTAGTTCGGTTTTGGTGCAGTGATAACTTTATGAGTGATATTACGAGAGTAACAGATGCTGGCAAAAATTTCAGAGATAAAACCCAAGCGTTGCATGGTTACATATTAATAAAATATCTCTTGAAATTGATTGTTCTGTCTTTACACAGTGTACACACTGTGGAAATTCACACAACGGTGAGAAATAATTGCTTAGTTTATAATAAGCATGATACTCACTACTGCTTACAAAAATGAAAAAGCAATCAAACTAAATATCTTGTTTAAATACCATTTATTAAAATATTTAAAAAGCATGTAATATATTTATTCAAAACATTTCATAAAGGGTTGAATGTTTTTCTTTCATTGTTTTATTAGCAACACGCAGCATTTATTACAAGCACTTGCATAAAACATGCAGATTTATACCACTTAATTTATTTGTCTACAACAATTTTATTAAAAAGAACCTGTTCCTCCGAGTTTATTATGTGGATGGATTGACCCCGTATTGTTCCATGACTTGTCTGTTTCCAAACTTAATGCAGAGGCTGATGGGCATTTAATGTGGGCCACCAACTCTCCAGAGGACTGCCTTTATGTTAATCAAGGAGCTGTGAAATCAGGAATGAGATGGGAACCCTGCTCAGGGAGGCCTGACCTCATCAGAGATGCAGAGAGCGTTTGGTAGGGTGTCACTCTGAACCCATGCTCTTCCATCAAAAGACGAGGGGGAGATGTGTACCTACAACATTAGATCCCTGTTTAAATATGACTACAGCATATATCCTAACCCAGAGGGCATGTGTATACATACAAAGAAACGAAAGTGCTTTCACAGTAAAATGTCAGGTTAAGATGTTTGATATGACAGACTTACATCTGTCTACATCTTTAAAGACTATCGCTCATAAATGAGACGTCTCTTACAGAAAACAAAACAAAACAGATTATTTAAAAAAACTGATTGACCAGTTTCCAAAACAAACACACACAACACACACACAAATAATAATAAAAAAAAATTAACTTGCATCTGTCTACATCTTTAAAGACTATCGCTCATGAATGTGACGTCTCTTACAAAAAACAAAACACTAAATAAAACAAAACAAAAAACAAAAACAATGTTTTTTAAAAAACTGATTGACCAGTTTACAAAATAAAAGCACACAAACAAACATTTTTTTAAACTTACTAATCTGTCTACATCTCTCATAAATGTGATGTCTCTTACAGAAAACAAAACAAAACAGAAAAAAACAAGCAAAAATAAATAAATAAATAAAAGTAAAAAATAAAAAAATTTACTTGTATCTGTCTACATCTTTAAAGACTATCGCTCATAAATGTGACGTCTCTTACAAAAAACAAACAAAACAAAACAAACAAACAAAAAACATTTTTTTCAACTGATTGACCAGTTTACAAAACAAAACCAAAACATTTTAAAGATTTCTTGAGGGTAGGGAAAAAGAAAATCTATAAAAGCATGAAAATTCTGTCATTATTTACTAATTCGGATGTCGTTCCAAATATGTATGTATCTTTTTGTAGAATACACAAGTAGAAATATTTTGTATTCAGTACTTGCCATATAATGACAAAGAAAAACAAGCAGCATCATAAAACTCAAAAAATTATATTTGGAGGATATGAATATAATCAGTGGATGACAATTTTTTACTATTGATCATAAAATGCTATTTTATGCCTCCTGATTATTTGGAATATAGTAATGCATAAGCCTTTTATTGTATTTTTATGGTCATTTTATATTGGCTTGGGATCTTGACAGTCATGGTCACTATGAATTACTGCTGTGTGATTCTTTGAAAATATTTCTACATTTGTGTTCCACAGAAAAATATCAGCATATGGGTCTGGAATGACATGAGAGTGCGCAAATAATAAAAATCATCATTTTTTGGGTGAACTATTCCTTTAAATTCATGTATATGTACAAAAGAGGCCCAGGAGTGTGTAAGATGCAGCTCATTAAGAGAGTGTTATTGATGTGCCAATTAGTAGAGGCAGTATGTCCCATAAAATCCACAGGGAATCATCAGCATTATGGAAATATGTGTGTGTGTGTATGTTTGTGTGTGTGTGTGTGTAAGAGCGGTGCTGGCGATCGTGGCATGAGGTTTCACAGCTGCTGGATCAAAAAATGTATTTCATTTTATTTCAGCACTGCTTTTGTACAATAGAAAAAAAAAACTATAAATGCAACAAAGAATAACACTGAGCATGGCTGAAAAAAAAATGCATCTGGGAAATAAATAAGGGGAATATTCTAAATTGCATGAAAACAAATGACACCGGAAGCCAGCAGTATTTGGCGAAACTGAATAATTGTCAATGTGACGAGCATACTTGAGTAATGGTAGCATCCAGCAATAGCTGCCAGACGTTTAAAATTCTGGGTCTGATCTGTTCTGCTCTCTAGAGGAACCAAATTACAGCCAAGACTCAAGTGGGGGAGTATCTGAAAATTATGGAAAATTATGAAAACCTACTTAATACTTCAGTTTAATGCGCAAACTGACAAGCTCATCGAGACATAAAGCAGCATCGAAGGCTTTGTTATAACAGAGATCTTTTAATTTTTTCTTATTTTCATTCCCATCACTAGAGTACCGTAAGACGCTAATGATGCTTTCAAACATGTCTTTTTACGAGATGGATCGCTCCGAGCTCTTTATGACTTTCATTGACCATTTCCCTGTCTTTAGCAGCCCTTTAAAAGCATTTTAAGGATTTAGAGGTAACCTGTTGGTGACCATGTTAAAATGTCACATAACAAATCAATCGGGCTGTTTTGCATGAGAATACAGGGCTGTCGAGGGTGAAGGAGTGAGACGGTGAGCACATGAGCGGATGGGTTTATTCGATCGGCAGCTGGATTGTACAGTATTGATTAGGAGAGCTCGTGGTGGCAATAATCACGCACGTGGACTGTGTGATGAGAGCCAATAAAAAATGAACCCATTCAGGGCTAAGACACAGCATGTGAATTCACACAGGACTGCTACTACCTGTGGTTATTCCTTCAGGCCATTTTACAGAAGGTAAAAGACACTGTAATCTTCACCAGCAATGGAACGTGCAGTCTAGGAAAATAACTGACTTGGACACCATGCTTCAAGATCAAAATCCCAGAAAAGCTCAGGTAATTACTACTTTACCCCAACCTCACCTCACCATATAAAACTAATTCTGTCTGAATAGGCCTAAAGCAGAGCCTGTAATTTGAGGTAGCAGAACAAGACCCTTCATCCCAGAATGCATCTGGCTGAGGTGCAGTTGAGAAAGAATTATTGGGATAGCTGTTCGGAGTGGCAGGGCCTCTCAAATGACTGTGATTCAGTCTGGATAGAGTGTGAGATGAGCGTGTGTGTGTGTGTGTGTGTGTGTGTGTGTGTGAGAGAGAGGAATGATTAGAATAGATGGCTGTGCTGATTAACTTCTACCCTGAGCTCTTTAAGTCTGTAGAGAGCGACTGATCAGGTAATAATGTGGTAATGTACATATAACATCGGGAGAGGTAGGAGTATATTTAAGTCCTTCTGTTTATTCCAACAATGGTAACTCTTTACAACAAGGTTCAATTTGCATTAGTTAATGCTTTGTGTTTTATAAACTAACAATGAACGGCATGTTTGCAGCATTTATTCATTAATGTAATGTATATTTATAATATACTTTTGTTTATTCATGTTCTTTCATAATACATAAACTAATGTCAATTTATTTCTTGACATGTTAAAAATGTATTAGCTTACTGTATGTAGAAATTTACACTAGCCTAAATTAATAAATCCAGTAAAAGCATTGTTCATCGTTAGTTCATGATATCTAATGGATTAACTAATCTTAACAAATTGAACCCAAACAATTAGTGGAACACTGAGGTCTTCTAGTAGGTTTAAAAATTTTTTAGCAAGCTGTACAGTAATTGTGCAATAAACAAACAAATAAATAAATAAAATTGAAATAAAAAAGTTGTAACTGTGCAAAAAATTAAAAATAAAATAGAATAGAATAAAAAATATAAATAAAATGAAATAAATCAATCTATCTATCTCAGAGGAACACAATTAGTGGAACACTGAGGTCTTCAAGCAGGTTCGAAAAAAGTTCAGTTGTAACTGTACAATAA